CACTGTTTGATGATCTTGTTCTTTCATGATCTTATAACCTGTCTCTTATACACATCTAGATGTGTATAAGAGACAGGTGTGTGTGTGTGCGCGATTAGAGCGAGGCCCTTTCAATCTAAACACGACCGGGCGATGCTCAATCGCCCGGTTGCAAACAATTTCTCACTGGTGTTGAAACCAGAATGATCGACGTCCATCCCCAACAGAGAGAGACGCTCGAATGGTCGCAGATTCGATACACACATCGTACTTCCCGAGGCTATTGGCATCGGCACAGTCCAGCATGCACGCTTCCAAGGACCCACGAGAGAACGCAAAAGGCGCCAAAACAGACGCGCACGTGAGAACAATGCGGGGCCGTCTAGTAGAGACAACTGTGTAGAATTGGACCGACACACCTGACTGGCGCAGTGTGGCGCACACTACATGATGTGAGAACGACCATGTCAATGGGCCTCGCTGCATCACTCAGGGCATACTCGGACTAGCACTTTCATAAATATATCTGAATGACATTACGGCCACGCCAGGATGTATATGACGGCAATCACGTACCGATCTCAGTCGAAAAAGTCCTAGTGTGAGTACGCCCTCACAATATGTCCAAGATGGCCAGTGTATCGTTCGACTTTCAACTGGAAAGGTTGAAAAGTGGAAAGACACGCTCACCGATGTATATTCTCCCTCACGTTTGACGAGTGGAGCGGTGCGCAATGGCTACGCTAGCGCGCCCCGAAGGCATCACGTTTGACCAGTGGAGAGATGCGCGATGACTACGCTAGCGCGCCCAGAACGCATAACGTGTCCATAATGTTCGAATTGCCCCTGCGCAGGTATCACGCGCGCAAACCGAAAAAAACATTCACCTCGTTACCTCCAGAGGCTTCTGAGTTGTGATTTGGAGCTGCTGATGTCAGCTGGCCGTGCGCTGAAAATTCCCGCCTTGTAGTGATAACACCGCCATTGCGATCGCCGACAATGGAGAAAAAATCTCAACGCGAAATCTGTAAACTTGGAAACCACCGGCCAACAATTCAATCTTGCGCGCGCCCACGATTGCTTTCCGCCAGGTGGCCCCGCCGTGCACGTCAGCAGTTCGGACCATGGAAATTCCCGATGACAACACCGACCAATGCCAATGATATCGCCGAAAGAGATTACCAAATTCTGATTCAATTTCAAACGAGCAAATTTCAAACGAGCAAAGCCGCTGTTGAAAGAGGGGGACGCGGCGCCCTCCGTCAAAACGACAGGATTGGCGCTCAAAGCCCACCTGTACCCGAATGCGGGCTCTGGTTTCAAAAGCCTACAATCTTGCTGGACAGACACAGCGCCAAATGTGCAAAATAAGAATGAATCAATCCGCTAGAACATGGAAAGATGCACCGCCATGTTGTTCGTCTTTTGTGCATCTGGTGAGTAGTGGAGCGAGCCCACAGACTGGGAGGGCCACAATGGCCCGCCCTACAGGTAGTAAGCGACAAAACCTCCCGAAGCCCGTACTTTTCTGGGGATAATTGCATATCCACTATTATAGTTTATGGATCCGTACATGTGGGCCTCAGCACTCCAAAACACGGATTCGAACCGACAACCTTGGCCGCAGGAGCCAGGTACAGTGGGGACACTGTTTTAAAGTGGAACCCCTGGAAGGTCATAGTGTTCAACTCAATGCAAACCACACACAACACCACACAGACACCACTCAAACATGACAATTCTCACACAATTCGCTCTGATCAGCACGTTGTAGAGCGCATTGGTTTCATAAGGGGACCCTCCCGGCCGCGTCACACAGGATTTTGCAGGACTTATTGTGAAGAGCGTTTGTCGCTCCGGCCGAGTGCTCAAGCTGGACCTCTCGCAAGCCCCTATGACAGGGTAGGGGCACACGAAGCACAACTTACCTCCACCCGCTGGAGCTGTCACCATCCTTTGGGTGGGCCTATCGGCGCCAAGCTACCAAAC